TCCCTCGATCTGGGGCTCCACGCAAGGTCTCACCCCGTGGGGTCAAAATGATCACAAGAACGGTGAGCAAAAATCCCAGAACCACACGGGGGGACCTAGTGAATGACCTGCAGAAAGCTGGGACCAAAGTAACAAAGCCTACCATCAGTAACACACTACGCCGCCAGGCACTCAAATCCTGCAGTGCAAGACGTGTCCCCCTGCTTAAGCCAGTACATGTCCAGGCCCGTCTGACGTTTGCTAGAGTGCATTTGGATGATCCAGAAGAGGATTGGGAGAATGTCATATGGTCAGATGAAACCAAAATAGAACTTTTTGGTAAAAACTCAACTCGTCGTGTTTGGAGGACAAAGAATGCTGAGTTGCATCCAAAGAACACCATACCTACTGTGAAGCATGGGGGTGGAAACATCATGCTTTGGGGCTGTTTTTCTGCAAAGGGACCAGGACGACTGATCCATGTAAAGGAAAGAATGAATGGGGCCATGTATCGTGAGATTTTGAGTGAAAACCTCCTTCCATCAGCAAGGGCATTGAAGATGAAACGTGGCTGGGTCTTTCAGCATGACAATGATCCCAAACACACCGCCCAGGCAACGAAGGAGTGGCTTCGTAAGAACCATTTCAAGGTCCTGGAGTGGCCTAGCCAGTCTCCAGATCTCAACCCCATAGAAAATCTTTGGAGGGCGTTGAAAGTCCGTGTTGCCCAGCGACAGCCCCAAAAACATCACTGCTCTAGAGGAGATCTGCAAGGAGGAATTTGCCAAAATACCAGCAACAGTGTGTGAAAACCTTGTGACAACTTACAGAAAACGTTTGACCTGTGTCATTGCCAACAAAGGGTATATAACAAAGTATTGAGAAACTTTTGTTATTGACCAAATACTTATTTTCCACCATCATTTGCAAATAAATTCATTAAAAATCCTACAATGTGATTTTCTGGATATTTTTTTCTCATTTTGTCTGTCATAGTTGACGTGTACCTATGATGAAAATTACAGGCCTCTCTCATCTTTTTAAGTGGGAGAACTTGCACAATTGGTGGCTGACTAAATACTTTTTTCCCCACTGTACCTTTGAAAATAGTGGATTATTGGATGACAAAAAAGTAACTAAAGAAGAACAACTTTCTATTGTCCATTATCTATTTTGAAGGAATACAGAAAAGCCTACTGTATAACTTTATGACCACAGACAGAGCTGTGATATAATATTCTCCTGTATCTCCCTAAACAGTCTGTGATATATTTCCTCCGCTCCTGTGCTGGCTGGTGTTGTTGTTGTTGTTGAGTTAGTTGTTGTTGTCGTGATACAGACGTAGGATCTTATTTTGAGCCAGTTTGCTACAGCAGGAAAATAATCCTGCAGCATCAGGAAATGTGAATTATTATGTGGATTATAATTAATGGAAAGTTTTTGTAGGGGTTGATATATTTTTTGTTACGACAAAAAAAGTCTGACATTTTAAAGTGGAAATTGCAAACTTTAGAAGCCTTTTTAAATCTTGAATACACTACAAGGTTGCATTTCCTGCTGTGCAGGAAAAAACTCATCAACAAAAGACTGATCAAATTAAGATCCTACATCTGTAGACTATTCTCCTGTATCTCCCCATCCAGGCTGTGATGAATTTCCTCCACTCCTGTGCTGGCTGGTGCGTAGCGACCTTCATCCTGGGTATCTGTGACCGCCACAACGACAACATCATGCTGAAACACAGCGGTCACATGTTCCACATCGACTTCGGCAAGATTATGGGCAACGCACAGAAGTTCGCCAGCATCAAAAGGCAAGTCCCAGAAGACACTATAACCGTGACTGAGGTCACCACTGTTGAATCCCAAATCAACCCATGTAGATCTGAAAGGAGTGGATATATGTAAGCAGTATATCATATCCTAACTGCTTCACCTAGCCTTCTGACAGGCTGGCTGAAATGTCTCTATATCTCTTACACCTATCCAATCGGCTCTACATTTTTGGTCATTTAGCAGACGCTCTTATCCAGAGCGACTTATAGGAGCAATTAGGGTTAAGTGCCTTGCTCAGGGGCACATCGACAGGTTTTTCACCTAGTCGGCTCGGGGATTAGAACCAGCGACCTTTCGGTTACTGGCACAATGCTCTTAACCACTAAGCTACATGCACTAAGCTACATCTACTGGTATGCATATGGAGGAAGGACTTTAGATATATACAGAAATACTTGAATAAAGGAGCTCTATTCCATTTACTCCCCTGTGTAAATTGCCAACTATTAGTGCTGAACGATGTGCTTTTTGAGGTCGGTTCAGTTTCGTTTCGATTATTAAAAAATAATCAAGTTTTTTTCGATTTGCATAATTTTTTTAAAAACATTAAATGCATTATGAAATAACGACATTACCTTGATTCTAGAGCTTTTTAATGGTAATTACAAAGCCAAAAATAGTGAACATTAAATTGCCAAAACATTGAAAATATTCCTTTGTCTCTGTCAGGTCCATATTGACATCAATAGAAAAACAGGGAATGGCTATGAAATAATCAAATATTTCAGTTGTGTATATTACTTAGTTTTTATTTGATTACTTTATTATTTTTCTTTCTGTAAAACTCATCTCATCTCTGCTCAGGCAGTAGCAGTCAGCCAGCCAGACCATCTAACGTTATGTGCTCCCCATACGGTATTGTCTTTAGTCATCCTATTTAGCTAGCCTGCCTAAGTATGCTGCAGAGCTGTCTGACGAAATCATTTTACTAGTTCTTCAAAGTAGATAAGGCATACTTTCGTGAACTGTCTCTGTCTCTCTCGTCATTGGGTTGTGTACATTCTTCTCTCATGTGGGTCACTGTGGTCGGTGTGTATCTAACCTAACGTAGCAGGCGTAAAAGTGTATCTGTCCAGAGATCTGTATGTAATGACGAGATGCTCATGTCTATGCCCTAACAATGGGGAGTCGTTTTGTCCCAAAACCGGGAAGGCAGGCAACAAGTTTAGGTCCAAAATAAGAAAATAGAAATGCATTGGGATTATTTTGGACTGATTTTGTCGAGAGTGAAACCTCTCGATTCGCCTTCGCCTCTTCCACTCTGACCCGTGCCCGAGACGGGGAAACAATGGTGTAATGGATTATGGTCATTGTAGTTAATTACCATGTTTCTGCGCTGAACTATGTTGAATATTTGTTTAATGAAAACTGCAACTCCCTTTAGCCCAGCGTCCCACATACAGTTGAAGTGAGAAGTTTACATACACCTTAGCCAAATACATTTAAACTCTGTTTTTCACAATTCCTGACATTTAATCCTAGTAAAAATTTGGTCAGTTAGGATCAACACTTCAGAAGTTTACATACACTCAATTAGTATTTGGTAGCATTGCCTTTAAATTGTTTAACTTGGGTCAAACGTTTCGGGTAGCCTTCCACAAGCTTCCCACAATAAGTTGGGTGAATTTTGGCCCATTCCTCCTGACAGAGCTGGTGTAACTGAGTCAGGTTTGTAGGCCTCCTTGCTCGCTCACGCTTTTTCAGTTCTGCCCACAAATTTTCTGTAGGATTGAGGTCAGGGCTTTGTGATGGCCACTCCAATACCTTGACTTTGTTGTCCTTAAGCAATTTTGCCACAACTTTGGAAGTATGCTTGGGGTCATTATCCATTTGGAAGACCCATTTGCGACCAAGCTTTAACTTCCGGACTGATGTCTTGAGATGTTGCTTCAATATATCCACATAATTTTCCTTCCTCATGATGCCATCTGTTTTGTGAAGTGCACCAGTCCCTCCTGCAGCAAAGCACCCCCACAGCATGATGCTGCCACCCCCGTGCTTCACGGTTGGGATGGTGTTCTTCGGCTTGCAAGCACCCCCTTTTTGCTCCAAACATAACGATGGTCATTATGGCCAAACAGTTCTATTTTTGTTTCATCAGCCCAGAGGACATTTCTCCAAAAAGTACGATCTTTGTCCCCATGTGCAGTTGCAAACCGTAGTCTGGCTTTTTTATGGCGGTTTTGGAGCAGCGGCTCTTTCCTTGCTGAGCGGCCTTTCAGGTTATGTTGATATAGGACTAGTTTTACTGTGGATATAGATACTTTTGTACCCGTTTCCTCCAGCATCTTCACAAGGTCCTTTGCTGTTGTTCTGGGATTGATTCGCACCAAAGTAGGTTCATCTCTAGGAGACCGAACGCGTCTCCTTCCTGAGCGGTATGACGGCTGCGTGGTCCCATGGTGTTTATACTTGCGTACTATTGTTTGTACAGATGAACGTGGTACCTTCAGGCGTTTAGAAATTGCTCCCAAGGATGAACCAGACTTGTGGAGGTCTACAATCTTTTTTCTGAGGTCTTGGCTAATTTCTTTTGATTTTCCCATGATGTCAAGCAAAGAGGCACTGAGTTTGAAGGTAGGCCTTGAAATACATCTACAGGTACACTTCCAATTGACTCAGATGATGTCAATTAGCCTATCAGAAGCTTCTAAAGCCATGACATCATTTTCTGGAATTTTCCAAGCTGTTTAAAGGCACAGTCAATTTAATGTATGTAAACTTCTGACCCACTGGAATTTGATACAGTGAATTATAAGTGAAATAATCTGACTGTAAACAATTGTTGGAAAAATTACTTGTGTCATGCACAAAGTAGATGTCCTAACCGACTTGCCAAAACGATAGTTTGTTAACAAGAAATTTGTGGAGTGGTTGAAAAACAAGTTTTAATGACTAAGTGTATGTAAACTTCCGACTTCAACGGTAGGTCTAGAGTTGATTTCTCTCGTGGATGATTTGATTTCTCTCTAGAGAAACGGCACGTTGGGCTCACAAAGAAAAAACAAACTAAATGTAATTCAAGTAATTGAACCGATGTTGTTTAGTTGTTTAATAACCCCCCCCAAAAAAATGTTTTACGAAATGTCGGTTAATCGCTCTGCACTACCAACTACCTACCATGTGACTGACACCCCTCCTCTCTGTGATGGTAGGGACCGGACTCCATTCATCTTCACCTCAGAGATGCAGCACTTCATCACCGGCGGGGGTCAGAAGCCCCAGAGGTTTCATCGCTTCGTAGAGCTCTGCTGTGAAGCCTACAACGGAATACGACGACGCACCACCCTGGTGCTCAGCCTACTGCAGCTGGTCAGTATACATCTTAATAACACCTTGGTAACACTTTATGAAGCATTATGACAGGCTTATGACACCTTGGTAATTATGAGTGGCTTATGACCACCCTGGTGCTCAGCCTACTGCAGCTGGTCAGTATACATCTTAATAACACCTTGGTAACACTTTATGAAGCATTATGACAGGCTTATGACACCTTGGTAATTATGAGTGGCTTATGACACCTTGGTAATTATGAGTGGCTTATGACCACCCTGGTGCTCAGCCTACGGCAGCTGGTCAGTATACATCTTAATAAAACCTTAGTAACACTTTATGAAGCATTATGACAGGCTTATGACATTGTCATGAAGGTGTTACATTGTACAATCATTGAATGCGTGCCTGTGTGTGTGTAGATGCTGGGTGCAGGCATGCCGGAGCTGAAGGACATCCAGGACCTGCAGTATGTTCAGAACAACCTGAAACCCCAGGACTCTGAGATGGAAGCTACGTCCTACTTCACCAAGTAATATGACTCTCACACTGCCACTCCTCTTCACCCCTCCTCTTCTCTTTCAACTTACATACAGAGACACTCCTACTGTGCTATTGTTACACACAAGACACATCTTTCCATCTCTCTCTGGGATCCTTCCAAGTAGCGGCCTTTTAATGTCCATATATATGAACCTAAAAACTATAGGTTTTGCCTGTCATCCATCCATACTTCTGTCTTGCAGGAAGATCAAGGAGAGCATGGGTAGCTTCCCGGTCAAGCTCAACTTCCTGATCCACACCATGGTCCAGTCATCTGGGAAGAAGCTGGCACCGCCCAGCCCTGCTCAGAGCTCCTCCCCCAACACCAACATCCAGGAAGCTGTCATACAGAAGTACACCGTGAAGGGCAAGGATGTGGTGAGTGTCTCTGCCCCTAAGCAATGTGGTGAAATTTGGTAGCTTCATCTTGTCCTCTGATAGGCCAGGTGAAATTGTTGCAATATCGTTTAAGGCGTCTGCATGCTTCCCAGCCGAAACAGTTCGGAACAGTTTGTGCATATATTATGATGACATTTTGTGACGTTTTTGTTCGTTTTGGACTTTTTGTAAGGGTTTTTTAGACTGTTTGGGCACACACATTTTTTTGTAAAGGCAAGCCGTAGTCTACGCCCCTTCGTCAGTGATTGGTCAACATTAGGGATTCTTCAATAAAGTCTTTCTTGTCATTCAACGAGAGATTACTTGTTTTCATGCACATTTTTTCAGTGAGAAATACTGCACCAAACATCTTAGTTAGATGTAATATTTATTGAGTTATCTTAGATTAATTCGGACTATTTTGAGGAAGTGAATACTGGCTACGGTGTCTCAAAATGGACAAACAGTACTATTGCCGCTCTTTTCTTGTTTTCCAAGCGAAGGTCTTTTAAGGGAGAACACGCATTCGGTTCGCTTAGTCGACTTCGGCTAGACGCCAGACGAACTGAAGCATGCTGACTCCTTTACACCTATCAGATACACAGCATTTTCCTCATTGGGCCTAAGCATTGAACTACTATGGCCATTTTAAGCTCACTGTCAATATATACAGTAGTAAAAAGTTACTTTTAAAACACTTAGGCCTATGCCATGTGCTAAACTCTCAATTTGTCTGGTTGCTAGGAGATGGGTTCTCTGTCTTGTTGCTAGGAGATGGGTTCTCTGTCTGGTGGCTAGGGAGATGGGTTGTCCGTCTACGTGGAACGCAAAAGGGTTCTACCATAAAGGGTGCTCCTCTGGGGACAGCCGAATAACCTTTTTTTCTAAGAGTGAATCCTAAAATCACTTTTACAAGTGTAATTATAAAGAGAGATAATGTGATAATGATATGATGTGTGATAAATGTGTGATTTTAATCAAATAATTACTTCAGTCGACCTGTCAATGCCATACTGCTCCAGAGCAGTTTAACCCTCCCGTTGTCCTAGGGTCAAAATGACCCGCCACTGTGTTGAACCAACTTTATTTAATTGTTTATATTTTGGGGATCGTTTGTGAGAAGGAGGCAGTGAGACTTTAAAGAAAGTATCACTGCCTCCTTCTCACAAACGATCCAGAAAAATATAAAAATTAAATAAAGTTGGTTCAACACAGTGGCGGGTCATTTTGACCCTAAGACAACGGGAGGGTTTTAAATTAAAGTGTACTTCATTGTGTCTTCGGAAGACTTTTTGATGATGTGTAATTTCAGACTTATGAGTTGAGGGTGACCATTGAGGACGGCTTCCTGATCAGTGAGAAGACGTTTGGCCAGTTTGAGCTGATCCACAGAGAGCTGAAGAAACACTTCATCGAGTCTACGCTCCCACAGTGAGTCTGAGTCACCATACTATTGAATTGCACCAACTTTGTGCTGTACTCGCTCCTTGACACACATAAAGTGTGTCCCATTTCATGTGAATGCATTCAATTAAATTGAATTCATATTTATTCATGCTCTTTTCATTATTGGTTAGATTCCCCAAATGGTTCAAGATGTCGTTCACTCCAGGCAGAAAAATGTCCCTGCTCAACAAGTATCTGAAGGAACTGTTCGAAGGACCGTGTAAGGGGGTATGTCTCAGTCCTCCTTCCTCCTTTTTCGTCCTCTTCTTCTTAGTCTTTTTATTCTAGTCATGGAAAAGCTGTCATTGTTTGATCTTCACTGTTTGAATCCCATGAACTGACCGTGGCCCTAAAGCATATTTAATTGTGCCATCTGCAGAATGAGTATGTGTGCAGGTTGTTTCTGGATGGACCCAAGACCGGGACTCCCAACTCTGTGAAATCAGACAGAGGTAATATACTGCTTCATTAAGCACCACTTCTTTGTGGGCGGCAGGTAGTCTAGCGTTGGGCCAGTAACCGAAAGGTCGCTGGTTTGAATCCCTGAGCCGACTAGGTGAAAGATTTTTCGATGTGCCCTTGAGCAAGTTACTTAACCCTAATTGCTCCTATAAGTCGCTCTGGATAAGAGCGTCTGCTAAATGACTAAAATGTCAATGTAAAATGATATGCTTCTTTATGTTTGAAATCTGCCAATTGATTACCTAAAATAATAGGGTAACATAATTTTGCAATAAAAGCTTTTGTTCAAGGGTTTGTGGGGGGGGCTGTCTGTTCAATGAGGTCGTTTCTGGACAATATTTCTATCAATTTAGGCCAGGGAACCTTTTTGGCTCAAGAGCACCCCTAGAGGCAAATGTTATGTATAGTATCTTTAACTGTTAACCGTTGTGTTGTAGACGGTCAACCCCAGATTCAGCTCTACATGTCCTACAACGACCACAAGCTCTCAGTCCTGGTCAAACACCTCAAGAACATTGTGAGTAGGGTTCTTCTTCTTCTTCTTCTTCTTCTTCTTCTTCTTCTTCTTCTTCTTCTTCTTCTTCTTCTTCTTCTTCACCACTAACTGCTGTACTTGTCTCTCTGCTCTAATACATCAGAATTTGGCCAATGGTTCGTGTCCAGATGCCTATGTGGTCACCAGGCTGAGGCCGGACCCCCTCAACAGGTCCAAGAGGAAGACCAAGGTGGTCCGCAACAACCACAACCCTACCTTCAATGAACTGGTACATAAAGGATCACTCATATATTTACTTGTTGAGAAACTCTAAATTAATGTATGCCCGTAAGCAAAGGGAAGAATGAATATTAAACTGTCCCTTTAGCAGTGTGAGCAGCAAGTTACCTAAAGTTGTGCCTCAACACATCTTCAATTACGAAACAGTCATACGTACTTTAGTCTGATTTTTTTCTATAGCTAGAATGGCAGCCTCTGTTTTGAGTCATTTATGACAATAGGTCTTCTGTGAACTGTCCTCATTAAGCAATATAAGGCTTGTAGACTGGAGAGCCATGGGGCAGAGTCCACTGGCTTCATCACATCAATCATGTAGACACTGTGGGTGTGTAGACACTGTGTGTGGTGGTGGTGCAGATGAGAGGAAGTAGTTTGCGTTTAGTAATGGCCAGAAATGACCTGTGCTACATTTCTAATCTGTCTCTGGGGTTTAGGTTAAAGGCAAAAAAAGACATGTTTCAAATATTTAAAAAAGTAAAAATGAATAACAAAGTGTTGTCCTTCTCTGTCTGTCTTTAGATAGAGTACCGTGACGTGTTGTCTTTGCAAGGCCGCGTGTTAGAGGTGACGGTGAAGAGCAGGAAGGCCTTTGTGGCCGTGACCAATGTCAGACTGGAACAGAAGAACATGGACACTGAGGAGTGGTTCCTACTGGACAATCGGATGCATAGTGCCTTTTCATTAGGGCGCATCGCAGCATAACACTGAGGAGTGGTTCCTACTGGACAATCGGATGCATAGTGCCTTTTCATTAGGGCGCATCGCAGCATAACACTGAGGAGTGGTTCCTACTGGACAATCGGATGCATAGTGCCTTTTCATTAGGGCGCATCGCAGCATAACACTGAGGAGTGGTTCCTACTGGACAATCGGATGCATAGTGCCTTTTCATTAGGGCGCATCGCAGCATAACACTGAGGAGTGGTTCCTACTGGACAATCGGATGCATAGTGCCTTTTCATTAGGGCGCATCGCAGCATAACACTGAGGAGTGGTTCCTACTGGACAATCGGATGCATAGTGCCTTTTCATTAGGGCGCATCGCAGCATAACACTGAGGAGTGGTTCCTACTGGACAATCGGATGCATAGTGCCTTTTCATTAGGGCGCATCGCAGCATAACACTGAGGAGTGGTTCCTACTGGACAATCGGATGCATAGTGCCTTTTCATTAGGGCGCATCGCAGCATAACACTGCGGAGTGGTTCCTACTACTGGGAAATCTGATTCCTAGTGCGGAAACCGAAGATGAGCGTTTCTTATTGGACAAATCCAGGTAGCACTGTCCCTCCCTGTTTCACAGAAGTGTCTCTCATTGGACAAGTACAGGTAGTACCTCACTCCGTTTTCAAAATGTTTTCTCCCTACTGAACGCCATTCTGGAGAGATGATGTGATGGCAGCCTGCCACCACTAGATGTCAGTGCTATACAGGAACTTCCATGGAGCAATGGGGGAATTGTTATACTAGAGAAGTTGTCTGTTCGATTTGGCACCTGATCTGGGATCAGTTTACCCTCCTCACCTAATCCAAAACTAACCCTAGATCAGCATCTAAGGAGAATTCTACAACGGGTTGGTCAAAACAAGCATTGTGATTGGTTGAGACGCGTTCTAAGCCACACTAAGAAACCTGTTTAGCACGTGTACGCCTATGACGCAACAATTGGGCATCTTGTTTTCTGTTTTATCTGAGAAATACTTGTGCATCCCAGTGTCCCATCAGCCCAGCCAACCAATTCATTAACTTGATCTCCACTGTAAAAAGCACCTAGACATTATTTCCCCTTGCTTCTAGCCTAACATTTGGTTTGCAACAACAGGGTTTGTATAAACGTTGCTGTCTGTCTCTCGACATTTGCAACTTTGTTTCAATATTGAAATTCGATCTCCAGTGTCCTATTGAGAATTAACGTGTCAGGACGAGACTGACATATTTTCTCAGCCAGTCGAAATCATGAATCGGCATCTTTTTTACGGATATATATACAGTGGGGGAAAAAAGTATTTAGTCAGCCACCAATTGCGCAAGTTCTCCCACTTAAAAATATGAGAGAGGCCTGTAATTTTCATCATAGGTACACGTCAACTATGACAGACAAAATGAGAAACAAAAATCCAGAAAATCACATTGTAGGATTTTTAATGAATTTATTTGCAAATTATGGTGGAAAATAAGTATTTGGTCAATAACAAAAGTTTCTCAATACTTTGTTATATACCCTTTGTTGGCAATGACACAGGTCAAACGTTTTCTGTAAGTCTTCACGAGGTTTTCACACACTGTTGCTGGTATTTTGGCCCATTCCTCCATGCATATCTCCTCTAGAGCAGTGATGTTTTGGGGCTGTCGCTGGGCAACACAGACTTTCAACTCCCTCCAAAGATTTTCTATGGGGTTGAGATCTGGAGACTGGCTAGGCCACTCCAGGACCTTGAAATGCTTCTTACGAAGCCACTCCTTCGTTGCCCGGGCGGTGTGTTTGGGATCATTGTCATGCTGAAAGACCCAGCCACGTTTCATCTTCAATGCCCTTGCTGATGGAAGGAGGTTTTCACTCAAAATCTCACGATACATGGCCCCATTCATTCTTTCCTTTACACAGATCAGTCGTCCTGGTCCCTTTGCAGAAAAACAGCCCCAAAGCATGATGTTTCCACCCCCATGCTTCACATTAGGTATGGTGTTCTTTGGATGCAACTCAGCATTCTTTGTCCTCCAAACACGACGAGTTGAGTTTTTACCAAAAAGTTATATTTTGGTTTCATCTGACCATATGACATTCTCCCAATCCTCTTCTGGATCATCCAAATGCACTCTAGCAAACTTCAGACGGGCCTGGACATGTACTGGCTTAAGCAGGGGGACACGTCTGGCACTGCTGGATTTGAGTCCATGGCGGCGTAGTGTGTTACTGATGGTAGGCTTTCTTACTTTGGTCCCAGCTCTCTGCAGGTCATTCACTAGGTTCCCCCGTGTGGTTCTGGGATTTTTGCTCACCGTTCTTGTGATCATTTTGACCCCACGGGGTGAGATCTTGCGTGGAGCCCCAGATCGAGGGAGATTATCAGTGGTCTTGTATGTCTTCCATTTCCTAATAACTGCTCCCACAGTTGATTTCTTCAAACCAAGCTGCTTACCTATTGCAGATTCAGTCTTCCCAGCCTGGTGCAGGTCTACAATTTTGTTTCTGGTGTCCTTTGACAGCTCTTTGGTCTTAGCCATAGTGGAGTTTGGAGTGTGACTGTTTGAGGTCGTGGACAGGTGTCTTTTATACTGATAACAAGTTCAAACAGGTGCCATTAATACAGGTAACGAGTGGAGGACAGAGGAGCCTCTTAAAGAAGAAGTTACAGGTCTGTGAGAGCCAGAAATCTTGCTTGTTTGTAGGTGACCAAATACTTATTTTCCACCATATTTTGCAAATAAATTCATTAAAAATCTGACAATGTGATTTTCTGGAGAAAAACATTCTCAATTTGTCTGTCATAGTTGACGTGTACCTATGATGAAAATTACAGGCCTCTCTCATCTTTTTAAGTGGGAGAACTTGCACAATTGGTGGCTGACTAAATACTTTTTTTCCCCACTGTACAAAGAAATGTCAATAGAACAACAGGTCAAACGAAATTAAATGCAGCTACTTTGCTGATATTCTAGCTGCATGGTTTGACGTGACTGTGTTAGCCGTAGTTGGCTAGCTAGCAAGCAAGGGATAAGAGAGTTGCCAGCCAGCGTGGCAACGGAACATTTAGAACGAACGACTGGGTCCATAGATATAGAGCAAAAATACTTTACGACTGGGAACCTAACCGATAGAATGAACGGCCAGCCGGCAAGCTAGCAAACATAGATCGGGACTAGGCCTATATTTTAGTTAAGGGATGAAATATTAGAATATGAATACATTTTATCAAAACAACGTTTTTTATTGAATTGGTAACCCGTTGTAGAAAAGCAATTGTAAAACAACCTATTTAGCACAACTGTGCTGATCTACGGTCCGCCTCGTAACTTTGACCACAGCACAGCCATGCAGTTTTGTTTTGTTTAGCTATTGCTTTACTTCATCCTACTCCTTTATATAGATGAGTCAACATCCTGCTCCTTTATATAGATGAGTCAACATCCTGCTCCTTTATATAGATGAGTCAACATCCTGCTCCTTCGTATAGATGAGTCAACATCCTGCTCCTTTATATAGATGAGTCAACATCCTGCTCCTTTATATAGATGAGTCAACATCCTGCTCCTTCATATAGATGAGTCAACATCCTGCTCCTTTATATAGATGAGTCAACATCCTACTCCTTTATATAGATGAGTCAACATTCAGCTCCTTTATATAGATGAGTCAACATCCTGCTCCTTTATATAGATGAGTCAACATCCTGCTCCTTTATATAGATGAGTCAACATCCTGCTCCTTCATATAGATGAGTCAACATCCTGCTCCTTTATATAGATGAGTCAACATCCTGCTCCTTTATATAGATGAGTCAACATCCTGCTCCTTCATATAGATGAGTCAACATCCTGCTCCTTCATATAGATGAGTCAACATCCAGCTCCTTCATATAGATGAGTCAACATCCAGCTCCTTTATATATAGATGAGTCAACATCCAGCTCCTTCATATAGATGAGTCAACATCCTGCTCCTTCATATAGATGAGTCAACATCCTGCTCCTTCATATAGATGAGTCAACATCCTGCTCCTTTATATAGATGAGTCAACATCCTGCTCCTTCATATAGATGAGTCAACATCCAGCTCCTTCATATAGATGAGTCAACATCCTGCTCCTTCATATAGATGAGTCAACATCCAGCTCCTTCATATAGATGAGTCAACATCCAGCTCCTTTATATAGATGAGTCAACATCCTGCTCCTTTATATAGATGAGTCAACATCCTGCTCCTTCATATAGATGAGTCAACATCCAGCTCCTTTATATAGATGAGTCAACATCCTGCTCCTTTATATAGATGAGTCAACATCCTGCTCCTTTATATAGATGAGTCAACACCCTAAGCACACCACTACTAGTGGTTCTTGGAGGGTGTTTGGATTTGAAGAATGAAATGTTACAAAGCTGGGGATGGGACTAGGCCTAGCAGGGAGGCTGTTTACTGGGACTCTAGTCTGATACTGGACAATGTATTTAGGATCTATTCTCTACACTGTATCTTCCTTGGTCTATTTATTTCTCAAAATGAAGGAAATGTATGTTTTGAAAATGTGTAATTAATTATAGCCATTATTGAACTCATCATGTACTGTTTGTTATGTGTGTAGATAATTTGTTGTGAAATGTAATGAACTGTTTATACTCTTAATAGTCTGATTGCTCCTATTGGGGACAGAACTGGGAGAGATGAGAGCATGTGGCTGTCTCCCTCCCTCCCATCCCCAGCTCAACCCTATTCCAATCCTCAGCTCAGCCCTATTCCAATCCTCAGCTCAGCCCTATTCCAATCCTCAGCTCAGCCCTATTCCAATCCTCAGCTCAGCCCTAGTCCAATCCTCAGCTCAGCCCTAGTCCAATCCTCAGCTCAGCCCTATTCCAATCCTCAACTCAGCCCTATTCCAATCCTCAGCTCAGTCCTAGTCCCATCTATCTCCATTCTCTGACCTGTTCTATCTGCTCTGCACTCCACTAGTCTGAGTCGTGCATAGTGGTGTATTGATGTGATTAGTC